CCCAGTATCTTTGCCAAGAAAGCCATAAGTGGGGTCATGAAGAGTAGGACATGATTGAAAAAAAATGACTGAAAAACAGGTGTCAAACACTGTGGTCAGGGTGCGGGGATGCAAATACAAGCAAGACAGTCCATTCCCTTGAGTTTACATGGTGATGGAGGAAGGCAAAAAACACATAAAGAGGAGGTGGGAAAATGGGGTATGTGTGGGGGCAGTATGATGTGGAGATGGCTTGGAAGTGGCATGGAGACCTGGTTCCAGGCAAAATAAGGCTAAAGCTCCCATATGAGACCCCAGCATCCATGGGGTGGAGTCCAAGGTTCCTGTGGGTGAGGGAAGGGGAGGAGAACCAGAGTGCAAGCATCATGACTAAGATGACCAAGGAGACTCTAAAGATGGAACCAGACATCCCTATATGCAAGGATCTTACATCCTAATTAGAAGGATAAGACATATGCCAATATACTGATAGATAGAATGTATAAATGTCTAGAAGAGGTTCAACAGAAGGGGATGGATTCAGGGAGAGACCACTTCAAGTGGGGGAACTGAGAGCCAACTTTTAAATGATTAAATGTTTGGTCAAAAATGGCCATACATGAATTTTTTTTATTACCTCTAGCACAGTGTGGAGGCAAAAAATCAGAGCACTTTACGCTTTCCTTCCTATGATGTGGATGAAATTGGTTATTCCTGTTTTCACAACTATGCAGAGAAAGGAAGTTCATTAAGTTTGCTGTTTGCCCAAGATCTAAGTGCATCCATAGCATTTATAACTCCTCACTCTTGCCTCAAATAATTATATCAACCCACTCAGCCCTGTTGCTGCTTGTTTCAAACTGGCCAAGGTCAAGTCTATTGTACACTATAAACAGATGTTCAATTCTGAGTCATTTACCAGGGACGCATTACATGAAGGAAGAGCCCATTTTAAAACTAAATCTTAGGCAAAAAAGAAAAAAAGTCACCTACTATGCACAGTCCAAAAAACCCCAAAGGAAAATATTTGTGGTTTTAAACCCATAAAATAGTTTAAAAGGGGAGTCTTAATTTTGAGAAGCAGCATTCCTCGTCCAAATAATATCTTTTCAGGTTTTTTTTTCCTTTTCAAAAGTGCTATGTCCTACACTACTGCAACCTCTGCAAAGTAGACAGTCCTGGGCTTGAATCTTGCCTCCAAAAAGCAGATTAATTACATTAACTTCTGTGGTTGTCTTTTTTGTTGTATAAGATAAGTAGCTCTTCCTTCAAAATGAATCTAATCATACCTTGTAAACTGGTGTTATGAGTGGATCTTTCATCTATTGTTTTTTTTTTCTTTTCTGGCTTCTCAAAAACTTAAGACTTTTAAAATCCATCAAGTATTTCAAATGGAGTAACGCTGATCTTCATGAACCTGTCAGCTGATTCCTGCATATTTCCATATCAGTATTATTGCTGTATTTCTCCTACACATAATGAAAAGGCAGTTGCCAAGGCCTGTTGGTTTTATCTTTGTCACATCTCCCATACATATTGCCTTCTTTCCTCTAATAATTAACTGAGGAGAGACAGACACTAGAATTAAGAGGGATTGGGAAAGACTTTCTATAAAAAGTAAGATTTTGGCTGGAATTTGAAAGATGTCAGGGAAGCTGTTCTGGTGTGCGTCTCCAGCCCCTCATGCCTAGACTATAGCAATAGCCTGTTGGTTGCTCTCCCTGACTCATCTCTCCCCATTTCAGTTTACCCTCCAGTTAACTGATGCAATCTTCCTAAAGTGCAGATCTGACCATGTCAGAAAAAAACCACCCCTCACTCAATAAACTCCACCTACCTACCTCTAGGGTCACATATAAAAGCCCCTGTTTGGTGTTCAAAGCCTTTCGTGACCACTCTCTTCTCTCCCCTCCCCCATCCTTTCTGGTCTTCTTACACCTTATACTCCCCTCCACCCCCTTAATCTGTGATCCAGTGATAATGACCTCCTTGCTATTTCTCAAACATGACACTCCAACTCCAGGCATTTTCATTGGCTATCCCCCATACCTGGAATGTTCTCTCCCCTCATCTCCTGGCTTTCCTGACTTCCTTCAAGTCCCACCTAAAATCCCACCTTTTATAGGAAGCCTTTCCTGATCCCTCAATTCTATAATAATTCTAATCATCCCTCTGTTGATTATTTCCAATTTATCCTGTATATAGTTGTTTGTATGTCTTCCCCATTAGACCGTGAGCTGCTTGAGAGCTAGGACTGTCTTTTGCTCTTCTTTGTATCTCTGGGGCTTAGCACAGTGTTAGTGGGCACTTAGCCTTTACTGACTGGCTAAGAAAAGAGATATGGCATTCTTGCAATGGGGCCTTTCATTGCCATTATAACTGAATGGGTAGAGTAAAAAGTAAGATACTGTTTGGACTTATCAAGTGGGGCAAATAAGGAAAGTGTATTAAAACGGTATGTTGATTTTTTTCTTTTCAAATCTTTGATTCTATCCTTGTGGAAAACTCCTTCCACTGATGTATATCCATAACTCATCTGTAACTAAGAGACCTCCAGGCCTGGGGCATGGAGAAGTTGTGTCTTGCCTAGAATCATAAAGTTAGCAAATGTTAAAATCAGAATTTAAACCCTGATTTTTCTGGCTGGAAGATCAACCCCCAATCAAATACACCACATTCTATATAAAATTAGAACTTAGGATCCCTGTTTCCATCAAAATTCAGCTCAAATGCTATCTTCTACTTCATCTTTTTTTGATTCTTTCCAGCTGTTAGTGTTTATGTTACATATGAGGAAACTGAGACCCAGAGAAGCTAAATAATTTGCCCTTGGTCACTCAAGCAGGGAATGACAGAGCTAAGATTCTGACTCATTCTCTGACTCCAAATCCAGGGCTCCTTTCACTATTCCACACTGTCCTCCAGAACTACTGCTCACCAAATCAAATGAAGAGCTGAGTATTTAAAAACACTTTCTAGTTATAAGTATCCTTCTGAGTGACAAGTCATTTAGATCTATAAACAAACATACACTTAGGAAAAACCATGACACATTATGGCTTAAGGTAAAAATAAATTTAATATACAACAATCATACTGAATGCTTTTAATACATGAAGAAAAAATGGCTTCTCCTGCCTCCCTGCCCACTCTTGTCATGATGCTGTATTCTTGAGACTTAAGTCCTTCCTATATGAACACAAGAAAATGATGTCCTTATTCAGGTTACAATCAAAAAATACCCAGAAACATTCACAAAATAAAGAAAGTGTCTTTGACTCTTTGGAAAGAATTCAGACTGGCTTCTTACCCACTTGTTTCCCTCCAACCTATCAGCACAAATGACATTTTCCCTCAAAAACAAATACAAATGCAACTCAGGTGAAAATAATTTTATCCTTCAGTACATATTACATGAATGATAGCAATGCAATTTAAAAGTAAGTTGAAAAATTTCATGTTCCATTCTGTTTAGACAAACATTTCATTTTAATTTTTTAATGGGGAAAACGATCAACAGATGTACATCTTCACTAACATCTAATTTTTTCCACTGTTATGGGAAAAGAGCATTTCTTCCCCCAAAAGTTCTGCTCACACTTATTTCCTAAACAACATAGATTTAGACAGACATGTAAAAGTTTTATTTACAATATTTTTATAAGAAATCACATTTTAAAAAATTCAACATTTCTATTTCTCAAAGTTGCAATATTTCAAAGGTGTTTTAAGACAGAAGTATTTGGAACACACCTGATTCAATTCTCATAGCTAAGATTTCAAAGCTCTGAATGTATGCCTTTTTCCAAGCCCTTTAATGGTTTATGATTTTATATGTATATTATAGCTATATACATGTGTGTATATTTTAAAATTAGGTCTCATTGAAACTAAAGGCCAGTTTAGAATTGGACAAAGTTCTGAGCTAACCTTGAGCCATTAATTAAATTGCTTGTGTATCAAGGCTGCCAGCTTAAGTTCATGCTTGTCTATGGAGGCTACCCCAAAATGTCAGATTTCCCTCTTTGCCTCCAACAGTCCCTGAGCCATCTTATGCTCACAACTGTTTGAATCTGTGATTCAGGTGAAAGGGAACCTTCCCTTTTTGCTTTTCAGTATTAAGCAGCATGAAAAGATGACTGACTAGTGCAATACTTATTTAGCCATGGACACTTAGTGGGGACTTTTAGTGCCTCACTAATAACTCAACTATCTGACTAGAAGGCGCAAGGTTGGTGAATGGGCCTCTTTGATGGCTATCTGCAAGAAGGTTCATTTTTTTACCTTGATTATACTTAAGTAACAAGATTCAGCTTTGTCTAAGATCCAGACCTGAAAAAGAAACTGATTGCTCAAATGAGCATCCTCCTCATCCTTTTTATTCTTAGCCAAAGAGAAGCTATGACAATTGCCCTCAGCTCTCACTCCAGGTTTAAAAGGCATTGTGCAAATGCTATGCTGGCTTGAAGATGTGTCACTGGGAGGCTATTAGAAGTCAGAAACTTTCAGTGAACAAAGGTATAGGCTAATGCAAGGTAGAAGAAATGGTTAATTACTTGGAGCCTCAGAGGAGGTTGGACTTACTTGCAATATGCCAGAAATAAAAAAAATCCTAGAGTGAGAAGGTGCCAAGACGGACCAAAATCTGCTCTATTGTGCTCAATAGGAATGGATCTAAGTTCAAAAGGTAATGTTAAACTGTGGCAAGATAAACCAGGTAGTCATACTGACAATTTACTGACATTAAATGCTGCACTCAGGTGATCTCTCAGAAGGTGGGCACAGCCTCCTAAGTGAGCAATGTGAATGAATGAGAAATCAGGGGTGATAAGTTTTTATAAGAAAATAATGTGAAAGCTGTTAAGGGTGGATGGAAAAAGTGGCAAGTAGTAGGCAGAAAGTTACTGATCAAAATGCTTTTCTGTGCGGGCAGCTAGGTGGCGCAGTGGATAGAGCACCGGCCCTGGAGTCAGGAGGACCTGAGTTCAAATGTGACCTCAGACACATAACACTCACTAGCCATGTGACTTTGGGCAAGTAACTTAACCCCAACTGCCTCACCATAAAAAAAAAAAAGCTTTTCTGTGGCAACTGATGCCAACAAGATGAGTTGAAAAGCATTTCTGAAAGATATAAAAATGAGAAACATCTACAGTAAGCCCAAGTGTAGGTGAAAGGATGAAGTTACAAAGCTGCCCATTCTAGTTCTGCAGGTTAGAAATTAATCTCTCTCAAATATTCAGATGACATTCTCTTATTCCTAATCTCAGGACAGTATCACAGCATTAAATTAAATCTCAAGATTCCCTCAGGGAAAGAGGGGAATTCTCATTAGGGCTTTCTTCTTCTTTTAAGGTTGGCCCCCATTAAATATAGCAGTGCCAGCACAGAGCTTTCATTTGCTAAGCTGGCCTTTGTCAGTGTCTCATTACTATTCCACTATTTTCCATGGGAATTCTTTGTTACCAGTACATCCTATGGCCCACTTCTTCCTTCCTAGGTTGAAGAATGTAAATAACTTTCAAAGGGTGGTATAAAGAAACTATTGCCATGTCTCTGACTAGGTCCAAAATAAGCACCATAAAAATTCCATTTGTCTTGTCTCCATTGCTGAGTTAATTGATTTCAGAACAAGTGTCAGTGATGCATACAACCCAGCAGAAGAGAAGGTTGGACTCTAGTCATTGCATAGAGATAGGAAGAGTGGACAAGCAGAAGCAGAGGATACTTTTGGTACTAAGCAGGCAGTTCCCCTGCTTCTTAACTAAACCAAAGGCTTAACCCACGAAGAGGCCTGATATGAAGATGGTATTTTAAAAGGACAAGGAGTCGGTGGATTTCTGAAGAGTCAGATTCCTAGCCAAAGTCTCTGTGGTTATGAGGATTTGGCAGTGCATGTTTTCTCTTTTAGCAAAGCTAATTTTCAAAATTAAAAAAAAAAGCATATTCTATCACTAGTTCACTAAGATTCTTTCTGGAAGAAGTAATTAGAGAATGTGAGACAAAGTAGATTGTGGCTTTGGAAAGAAAGACAATCTGCTTTATCCCTTTCTTTCCTCATTTCACCTTCCCTTTTAAATGATTTCTAGAGATTTATGCCTTATTGAGCCGGATGAATTGACTACTCTGAACGCTGTTTAGCGCCTCCTATATGTAGCCTAGAAGATAACTAACATTGTAATCTAAACATTTTAACCTGAACAAAACCTTAACTTTTTTTTTAACTTAAAGGCTTATGATGAAAATACTTAATGTTCTTTGGGTTTACTTGGGAAACTGTGTATAAGGCATCATAAAAAGAAACATGGGGATGGGAGGGCATTTGGGAGGTTTTTACATTAATAATGTTGAGATCTAAAATTTCTAGCATCATCTCAGTGGTTAACCTTTGACCAAAGCATTTAGTAAATATGTTAAACCTACTAGCAATTAATTAATAATAATTTTTGGTACAAATTATTTATAAACAACAGATGTCAGTTTGCACTAAAACTTAAAGAACTGTTTCAACTCAGTTTTTGTTTTAAAATAAAAGAATTTCTTAGGCTCCATTGTGTGCTGTTCTCTTTCCTATTTTCACTGTGCTTTCTTGTCCCCAATTCCGTTAGCTGCAGTGAAATGAACTTTGGGAAAACCATTTGTGACTTCTTTCCCTGGAAGATTCTCTTTCATATCTTGTTGTAGAGGCTTTTTCCGGTATGTCTATTAGACATGCAGATAAGGAAGGGGAAAAAAAAAAGTATTTCAGTGAGAGCTTTTCTATATCATTGTAATTTTTTTTTTACCAAACACTACTTAAAACTCTTTAAAGTGCTGGATTTTCACTTCTTTACAATATGGCTCCAGCTGACCTTTAACTTAACAGGCTAATTGTACATTATTCCTTTTTATTCACAAAACTTTCCAAGTTAAACTGGCCCAATTTCTGTTCCCTGCACACAAGTTTATATCTTCTGCCTTTGTGCCTTTGCACAGACTGCTCCTTTAAGAGGAGGTCTCCCCCTCTTCATCTCCACTTTTTTGAACCCCCAGCGTCCTTGAAGGCTCAGCTCGATAGCGTGAGACCTCTACCCTGATTCCCTCCATTTGCTAGCGTCCCCTCTTTTCCCACCCAAATTATCTTGTAGATACGCTTTGTACATGTTTTGTATTTACTTATCTGTGTACCTATTGTTTCTGACCAATAGAATGTAAGCCTCTTAAGGGCAGGGGATGTTTTATTTTTGTCTCTCTCTCTCCAGCACCTAGCAAAGTGCCTGACATATGATGGCTGCTTAATACATGCTAGATTTAATGTATGAATGACACAGACTTTCTCTTTGTTCAAAGCTAGACTATCCTCTGAAATCTACTTATACATGAAAATTTGGTAGTAGTCAAAGTAGTTGCATAGTTTTCAATAAAAACTTGCTTATTTCATTTATTCTATACTAGCCTATGTGTCTGTAATGTGACTATCACTGCAGTAATTATTTTTCTAGTAAGTATTTTGGACCTGAGGAGGTCAGTCCAAGCCTGTCTGAAGACCTAGTTACATAAAGACAAACAGATTTACAATGAAATGCTATTGAGGCTGTGACAGGAGTAGCTGAGGTTCTGGTCCAGACCTGAATTGGCTTGTGCCATTTCCCCACTACTCTTGTCAAAATACATGAGCTCTACCTGCAAAGTCTGAGCAAGGGAATTGTTTGTAAGCCAGTCAAGGGTATCAACTAGGGTTGAGACTGACATCATAGACTTTGTCCACAAAGGGCTCTGGTCTAATTTGAGCCAGAGCACCCAGTTCCATCCATTAGCGTCATGTACTCTTTCTTCCTGGTCATGAAGTAACAGAGCGCTCTCTTAGCTCCTTCTAGTACCATCTTTGGCAACTTGACCTATTTCATCTGCATTCATTCCTAGATAGTCTCACAGAATACTTAGCTTTTGCAGCTTACATTCAAAGGCAAGTTTACACAGCCAGTTTCACTAATAAAGGGGCTGAAAAGCTGTCAAAGTGTTAGTTCCTCTGTCTATGATTTGGCTAAAATTATTATGGATTAATTTCAGCAAACACAAGCAGAAAATAAGAAGGAACTCTGTGTCTCTATAGAAGTAGAAAACAGCTGAATACAATATCAAAAATTATTTTGCATGTCAAATTTATCTTTTTCTAATGTTCTTTACTTTTGTTCCACTTCCACAAAAATAGATTAATTTAAAATCTCATCCACCTGAGGCCTATACTTTGTCATTTTTTTTATCAGTTCTTAAACAAAAGAGTTGTTATGAAGTTGTATGTTGAATCCATTTCCTTTTCTGGGTATAGTTCATTTTTATAACAACTTGATAAAAAAGGCAAACATGACCTTTCCTCACTCAATAATCTAAAAGTAATTCTTCCAAATGAATAATGAGGCCTCAATTCTGGCTGGTAGCATAACAGCAAGATTTGTTTTTAAAACTCATTTACAAAACATATGTTTTTGCTGCTATTTGTTTTTGCCTATAAGATTTCCTGGACCAGGCTTAAGATGTCACTTTCAAATTTCAGTCTTTGGAAGTACAAGGCAAACATGTGATGTCAGGATATAGACATCTATAAAACAGATAACACATTGCTTACTCATCTGAGAACACTTATTTCAACTCACCTGATCATAAAAATTTAAAAACAAGATGACTAATGTGAGCATGTAGGAAGACTGGAAGATGAGACAGCCAAAAGGAAAGCCACAAGGTATCACAACTGCACTCAGGGTATGTGATATGGTCAGCACAAACTGGATCTGTGAGAGGCACATAAAAATCAGAGCATGGATGAATCAACTTTTGAGTCACACAAAATCTGCTTTGAAATCACGAGACTTATTCTCTAAGTTTTGCTGAGTATAGCAAGAAATATAAAAATAATTTCAACATAATTCTTTTATCCTAGATAGAATATTTGTAAGTATATAACTGTCCATTATATAAAATCTATGACATATAATTAAATATATTCCATATAACTATGTTTCCAGAGGTTGTGTGGCATAGGAGAAAGAATTCTGGATTTAGAATTGAAGTTTGTCATTCAGTTGTTTTCAATCTTTGTGACTTGGCAAAGACACTGGAGTGGTTTACCATTTCCTTCTCCAACTCCTTTTACACATGATGAAACTGAAGCAAACAGGGTTAAGGGACTTGCCCAGGGTCACACAGCTACTAAGTGTCTGAGGCTGGATTTGAACTTAGGAAGATGAGTCTTTCTGACTGCAGGCCTTATACTCTATCTACTGCCCTTAAAATTGAAGACCTGGGTTCAAATCCTAGTTCTGCCACTTTAAGTACCTCTGCAACCTCTCTGGACTTTAGTTTTCTTTTATGTAAGATGAGGAAGTAGGACTGCATGATTTCTAATGTCCTCTCCAGCTCTAAATCTATGATCCTACTAGGATTCTGTAAGAGTCACAGCCTTCCATTTTATCCCATTTGTCTATTTATGTACCACAGAGGGATAAGAGGGCTGGTTTTAGAGTCAAAAAACCAGGCTTAAGTCCTACCTCTGACCACAGGCAAATTACTTAAATCCTCAGTGCCCTGAGGCAAATCTCTAAAACTATAAATTGCAAAGAAGGTATCAATCTATACTGGTTGAGCCCTTTCTAAACTGGGAGCCCCTTAAACTAATGATATCAAAGTTCTGTCTCCTTTGCTTCTAAAAGACTATGATTTCCTCCAACTCCCACTATATTGAATTTATAGAGATTCTAGTTATCTAATTTAGAGAGGAAAAAAGATTTTAGTCCATAAATAACTTCAAAAATTTTCCTGGAGAAGCAATGTGACATTAACTGCAAGAATACTGGCCCAGGAATCAGGAGATTTGGGCTCCAATCCTGGTTCTGCCAGTAATCAGCTATTTGATCTTAGCCAGTCACTTCTCATCTTTGGGTGTGGTGTTCCCCATCTATAAAATGAAGGGAATAGCCCATGGTAGATGTTCTCCATGGTTCTTTTGAGTCTTGATCTCTTAAGTTTTTTTAACTTCGTGTAATGAGGAACTTCTTGTCTGTTTCAAAGTGGCAGCTAACCCACCCTCCTCTGCTACCTACTTGTACAAAGGATACTCTAATATGCAAGGATTAGTTCTTAAAAAGTCAACCATCAAATCTATGATAACAGGATAGAGATGGTTATCTTGTGTATCTTCCCCCTTCCATGAACGTATGTGGATGTTATCACATGGCCTACAAAAGGAAAAAAAGAAGTTGAAATAAAGGTTAACATACCAATTGTGCCTGCGTAAGGTATTTCTTCCACCACAGATACTTGTGCATGGATGGTATCACCGAAAGTCCATAGTAGGAATACATTAAAATGTGGATAAAACTGTTCAGTGTTGGTCCAAAAAAACCTGTGAAAAGTACAGCATGAGAACAATGATTTTAGAAACTATGATCAAGTTCACTGAGGGCAAAATACAAATCTTGTTTGTTTAAAAAAAAGTTCTTTGCTGTGTATAGTAGATAGAAATCATTAAGTAATTCTGATACCACTGTCTAGTAGTAATCACTCTAAAGGCTCTACACTGGCTGTGCTATTATTCAAATATTTAGGGCAAGTTTATTTTTGGGAGGGCTGCATTGTAGGCTTTTTGGGTTTTTTTTTCCAGAAAGGCTGCAGTTGTCATTAAAGTCCCTTGTTTTTATGCTTATTAGACTAATGAAGATGTTATATGCTCCTGGATTGCAGTTATTCTGACCGTAACCAATCTGCAAATTTGTATGAGCATCTGCCACTTGGATACAGAGGTATATAACAGGTTATCAGATGCCATCCCACAAATAAATGCTCAATGTCTAGCTGATAATACAGGCCAAGATGTCTTTATTCCATTTCTGCCTTGAGGTCCTACCCATCCAAAGCTCAGTTGTATTCCAACGCCTCCATAAAGCCTTTCCTGGTGCTCCTCTATTTAGAATGGTTAATTTCCTCCTGTGAAACCTCATAGTGCTTGGTTAATATCCCTTTTTGGACCTTACACTTATTTGAATAATTTTATTTCGAATAAATTTTTATTTATTTTGAATAATAGTTTTCTTCTTCTCCTAGATATTTCATTTTCCCTACTGAACTGTAAACTTCTTAAGGACAATGATGTGCCTTATTTAGCTTAGCAATTGTCCTAGGTCCTACCACAGTGCCTTATATAGGGTAGGCACTTAATATGTGATGGCCAGAGAGGAGAATGCAAAATGAGAGGATTGGACTAGTTGGCTTTTGAGGTCCCTTCCAGCTCTGGATTTATGACCCTAAGATCCTATGAGTCAATGAACAAATGAAAACATTTGTGCTTTTGCTTGACAATGTCAAAGGCTCATCAGATACCGTTTTTCAGTTGTTGGGTAATATTTGGATGACTGCATGAAAGGGATGCTCACATGCAGTGTGTACTTAGAGTGAAACTTTGAATACATACATTAAATCCTCGCTGTAGTTTGTCTAATGTGTGAATACACACCTGTACTAAAGCTTAGAGGAAGGTTACCTGTAGCAATGATTTATGTTTTGGAGAAGGTGGTTGCATGGCTACTATGCCATAACATAATTACCCAATCTTTAAAAACTTCCCTGGGATATCAAAGTATCTGCTAAGGAGAGACAGATAATTTTGAATAACACGGTAGCATGTGGCGATGGGATGGGGTGGGGCAGATCTTGCTTCCCACTCTGAAATTCATGCATTTCTTTGCTGTGTGTCTTTATCCCTCTATTATGTTGAAGCTAAAAGCTAAAAACCTGTCCCATCATCCCATTTGTCTATTTATGTAAAAATAATAATAATGATTGCATTTTATTCCTCCAAGGAATTCAAAACAGCGGATAGCAATCTAAGGCAATAATTCCCAAAGCCATAGGCCTTTTACTCATTTGGTAAATAGAGAAGCAAATACACAATAATAATTGCTATGTGTGTTAGTTTCACTTGATCTCCAGAACAACCTTTCAAGGTAGGTAATATAGGTATTAGTATCTCCATTTTAGAGATTAAGAGACTGAATTTAGGAGATTTAGTGGCTTACCCAAGGTCATGGCTAGCTTCATGAGGCAGGATCTTCCTGATGAACCCAGGTTCAATGGCATATCCTTTACTCCACACTACCTCTCATTAAAATATTGGTTAATTGAATATATCATTGGAGAAACTGCTTTTAGTTTCACAAAAATACAGATACTGATTTTTTATATTGGGTCACTGGGCAGCACAGCCAAGGGAGTTTAGTTAAGGATATTTTTCACTCACCTGAGTTCCTCTGACCTGCATTAACAAAGGCAAATGAGCAGCTACTAAATATCATTCTAATGATATTCAACCCTGCATGTAATTTGTCATTTGCAAAATACTCTACTAACATGAACCAGGAGTCTGTGAATGCAGCCATTGTTCAGATTTATTTTTAAATCTGGGGAATGTGAGCACTGATGAATGAAACAGCCAAGCTTGTTCATTATCCTTTGGCTTCTCTAGTAGCCTGCCCCCTTCTATTAGCAGTTGAAGAAATGGAATTCAAGTCTTGGGAGAAATGCCAAAGGACTTTATTTTCTGTTGCACACTGGTTTCAATTTGCATTTTTTTTGGTCATTAATGGGTGAAATCCAGTTACATGTTCTTGGGATTTAAAGTAAGAGTATCAACAGAGTCCCAAACCTCAGGTCAAACCATCTGATGTAAATTTGGCCCACTCTGGTTTTTCAAATACTGGATATATTTCTGAACCTCAGTGTTAGTATTAATCCCCGTTTTTGAAGATGGGGAAAAATGCAAAGCACTAAATAGAACAGCCTAGTGTTAACCACATCATTATCGGTGATCATGGATATTGGTGTGTAGTCAACGGAGCCCTAACTAACACTACTACTAACTAGCTAAACTAACTAAAGTAGGAATTGTGCAAGTGTGGGTATTTTCTAACAGTTTCTGATGGTTTGCAAAGCTTAAAAAATTTTTAGGTAAAAAAAAATCATTCCTGATTTTGCCAGTCTTGCAGCCTGGAAGCCAGAATCGAGCCCTTGGGGCCAAGAGATGTCAGATATCCACCTCTACTATTGCGTCTGATGCTGATGCTACATTACTAAAGACTGAACTGTTAGGGTCAGGGTCACATTTACCCAGAAGTGAAAGAATGACCAAATCCTTACTTTGTCCACATGGTATCCAGTTCAGAACACACCACCAGATGTTAAACATTGAAGTATGATGGTACACATGAAGAAAAGTAATCTGACTGGTTTTCTTCCTCAGAACAAAGAAAATTGTGTCCATGAATTCTATCAGTTTGGAGAAGTAGTACCACCACAGAACTTTAGCTACCTACAAAGTGAAAAAGAAAAGTTACTTTTATCCCAGAACAGAGTACCTGTGTGTACTGTCTGCACTGGCCTATCATGTATTTACCATGCTTCCCTGAAATCATACTCTACTTGCTTCATATAAGTAGGCTTTAGCTCCTCAAATAAGGAGAAGGCTAAGCTAAAGCATTTTTTCTCTCTTCATCTTCCTTTTCACCAAGATGAGGTGGTCCTTGCTACTCCATGCAGGGCCTTCAGTGCTTTACACTCCTAACACCCTTGTAATCCTCAGGTTAGAAAATGACTTTTCCATAGTTATTACCTTTCTCACTCATACTTAAACCTAAGATGCCTCCAAAGGTACTGCAAATATTGATACCAGAATAACATGTTCTCTTTTCCAGGTAATTAACATCCATGTAAAAGAGGCTTAGGTATATTCTGCATAAAGTTTTACACTTTCCCCTCCTTTCACTGTTTGCAAGCCCCTCCCCCCAATAAAACCCCAAACCCTCTGAATGGACTTCTGAGTTGGCAACAGTGAAAGAATTGTATGGAGGCCCAAATCCATGATGACAAGAATCATAACTAAAGTGGGTGATACAGTGTTAGTTGAGCTATGAATAATTGGTTCAGACACTCTAGAAAGCAATTTACAAATGTTACTAAACCATGCATATCCTTTGACCTGGAGATACCAAAGAAATCAAAGAAACAGGAAAAGGACCCCTATATTTATAGCAGCTCTTTTCATAGCAGCAAAGAACTAGAAACTAAGGAGTGTCCCATCAAACGGGAAATGGGAATAAACTGTGGCATATGAATATAATGGAATACTATTGTGCCATAAGAAATGAAGAAAGATGGTTTCTTTTTTTTGTTTCAAAATTTAGTATTTAATTTTTCCAAATTACACAGAAAATATTTTTTTACATTCATTTTTAAAAATTTTGAATTCCAAAATTTTCCCTCTCTTCTTCACCTCCTCCCTCCTTTAGAAGGTGAGCAATTTGATATAGATTATATCTGTATAGTCATGCAAAAGATATTTCCAAATTAGTCATGTTGTGAAAGAAAACACAGACCAAAAAAACCTCCAAGAAAAATGAAAGAAAAAAGTATGCTTCAATCTGCATTCAGACTCCATCAGTTCTTTCTCTGGAGATGGATAGCATTTTTCATCATAAGTCCTTTGGAATTGTCTTAGATCATTATATTGCTGAGAATAGTTAAGTCATTCACAGTTGATTATCATATAATATTTCTGTTACTATGTATAATGTTTTCCTGGTTCTGCTCACTTTGCATCAGTTCATGTAAGTCTTTCCAGGTTTAAGAAAGATGATTTCAAAGAAACCTAGAAAGAATTGTATGAAGTGAGCAGAACAAGGAGAACTTTACAAATATAACATCGTAAAAACAAACAACTTAGAAATGCCTAAGAATTCTAATAAACACAGTTAACAACTATGATTCCAAAGGACTGATAAAACACGCTACCTACTTCGACCAGAGAGGTAATGGACTCACATTGCAGAATGAAACCTACATTTTCTGATCTAACCAATGGAAGAATTTGTTTTGCATGACTATGCACATTTTTTATAAGTCTTTTGTTTCTCTTTTTTCCTGTGTGTGTACGTGCAGAAGAGGTGGGGGAGAGTTAGAAGTAAGAGAGAAAATATTTTCAATTGATAAATTACATTAAATTTAGAAAATTAATGCAGGTGATATAGAACTATATATGAATTGTTCCAGAACTGGAGATAGGCAGATGTCTTGATTTTCAAAAATAAGGAGGTGGATTCTTCAATACATATAACTAGATCAGCAGGTACATATACTTGGATTTCAGTGAGGAATTTGACAAAGTCTTCCTCATGATATCCTCATGGGCAAGATGGAAAGATGTAACAGTTAGATGTGGACTTGAAACTAGCTGAAAAATTATACTAGTGGTGATTAATTGATTGATCTCAGCCTGGAGGGATGTCTCTAGGGCTGCAAAAATTCTTTATTTCACCTTTTTTCTGTTCATTTTTATCAGTAACTTGTATTTCTCACTATCATATATGTATCTCTAGCACCTTACACATAATAAATGCTTAATAAATGCTTGTTGATTGACTGATTGAAGAAGACATAGTCAATTAAACAAATCCAACAAACATTTATTAGTCACCTATTATGAAGAGGAAGAGGGCAGCTAGCTGGTGCAATGAATAGAGTGCTAGGCTTGGAATCAGGAAGACTCTTCTTCCCAAGTTCAAATCCAGCCTTAGACACTTAGCTGTGTGACACTCAGTAAGTCATTTCACTTTGTTTGCCTCAGTTCCTCATCTATAAAATGAACTGGAGAAGGAAATGGTAAGCCACTCTAGTATCTCTGCCAAGAAAACCCCAAATGAGGTAACAGAGAATCAGACATCACTGAAACAAAGATGAAGAGGAAGAGGAGGGTATGCTGCCTTTGAGAGATTTCAATATATTTTTTTTAATAACTGTAAATTTCTGGGAGGGGACAGCTAGGTGGTGCGGTAGATAGAGCACTGGCCCTGGAGTCAGGAGGACCTGAGTTCAAATCCAGGCTCAGACCATATACTTGACAGTTACTAGCTGTGTGACCCTGGGCAAGTCACTTAACCCCAATTGCCTCGCCAAAAAAAACCAAACAAAAAAACTGTAAACTTCCCTGAAATACAGGTCTATCTAGTTAATATTAACATTTTCCTAGTGTTTTATGACTGTAAATCATAGAATAATATGGTCTCTAAAGAACTGAAAACAGATAAGAGAGAGGCCCATGAGAGGTATAACACATCAAAAACAAGGAATCATGAAGAAGTGGAGTAAAGCATGACATCAAACAAACATATAAGCAAAAGCAAGTGAAGGTTAATTGATGGACAATTCATCACCTGGCCCAACTAGGTGGTACAGTGGATAGAGAGCGGGGCCTGGGGTAAGAAAGGCCAGAGTTCAAATATGACCTTGGATACTTAATAACTGTGTGACCCTGGGCAAGTCACTTAATGTCCTTTTGCCTCAGTTTCCTCATCTGTAAAATGAGGATAATAACATCACTTACCCTGAAAGGTTGTTTTTGAGGATTAAGATAATAACTGTAAAGTGCTTAGTACAGTGCCTGGCACATAGTAAGCATTATATAAATATTATCTATTATTATTTGCTACACCAATATCCTTGTAATGATAGGAGAAAACAAACAGCAGGTTAGGTGGATCTCCTGTGGCAAACATATGGGAAGACGTGGACAAGAACAACACAGGAGGGGCAGGCATGGATGGGTAGCCACCAGCATCATTGGAGATGTGAGATCATCGATTCAATTACATATCTGTACTAGGTGCTGGAGGCAGAAATATAAAAAGTGAAGTCTTTGCCCTCAAGGAGCTTACATCTTTCTAGATGGCATGCTTACCAGGCTTATAAATACCATGAAGCCTGGGGAGACTGAAAAATAATTGGATGAGAAAATCAGAATCCAAAAAGATTTCAACAGTCAACGAACATTTATTAACCACATACAATGTGCTAGGCACTGTGATGAACACTGTAATGATAGCACAAATCTACTAAGATAAAATTTAACACACACACAGGTAGAAGTCCTACATTTGAGTTTATAAGAATATCAACTGGGGAAGAGAGATTGAATAATGAAAAAGATCTGAGGATTTTAGTGTCCTGAAACCTCATAATCAGGCAATAGTACTATTTTAATAGAAACATAGTGTCCAGAATGAGAGAGGTTATTGTTGCTCAGTATTCTATGCCAAACTTTTTAGGAAGAACATTGATTAAGTGGAGGGTGACCAGAAGAGGGCTACCAAGAATACAAGGAGACTAAAAGACACACCATCTAAAAATAGATAGAAAGAACTGGGGATTTTAGCTAGGATAAGCAGAGATTAGTAGATGACATTAGAGCTACCTTCAAGTATTTAAAGGATTGTTATGTGTAAGAGTGATTAGAAACCGTGTATGTCTCCTGAGTGGGCAGAACTAGGTAGGGCCAGAGCATGGAAGTTACAGGGAGGTAGATCATTGGACTGTAGATTTAGAGCTTGAAAAGACCTTAGAGGTCACTGAATCTAGCTCTCCTCATGTTATAGATGATCCAGCCGAAAGATTAAGTAGCTCACATAACTGTTAAATATCAGAGGCAGAACTTTTTAATTCTAAGTCTAGTGCTCTCTCTACTATTCCACACTGCCTCTTCCCCAAATTTCACCTGTATTTAAGGAAAAAATTTCCTAACAATTAGATGAATCTAAAAGAATGGGATGTCTCAGGAGGTATTCTTGAAGTATAATCTGGATGACTCCTGGTCAGGGATATGGGAGAAAGGGTTGCTACTCAAGCATAATGGTAGCTTACATTTACATACCACTTTTAAGTTTTCTAAAGTGCTTATGATCGTATTTAATCTTTATAATAACCCTGATGTGGGATATGTAGATGTTGTTTCTGCATCAGAGGTTGGATTCAGAGAAATAGTTTTATTGTTATTATTATTATTTCCACAAAAAGCCAAGTGGAAACCTTAAGGAATGCAGTCTGGGGACTAGGTAGAAGTTGAACAAAGGGAGTTATATTAGAATAAGAAAACACTCTCGGTGGTGAATAGACTAACCAGCTGAAAACCAGTTCTGAGGTTAACATAAAAAGGGGTGTTCCCAAGTAAGGGTCGGGGTCACAGAATTGTGGGTAGTGGGAGATGTAATTAGGGGCGGAGGCTCACATGGGGAAATTAGGTGCTTCAGATAGGCTGTAACCTCTATAGTACCTGGTGAATGGGGAAACAGAGGAAGGAAATTGGAGTGGGGAATAGAGAATAAAAAGGTATGCATTTGTCGACACTTGTGCTCCCACATGCCTGCTCTTACACACGCGGGATGCCTGGCCTTCCCAGGTCATTAATCAAGCTTCTTCCTGACTCAACAATGGTTCCATGGAATTCATAATGTTGATATAGATAACCCCTGAGGTACATGCTACTATTATCCTCATTTTGCAGATGAGGAAATTGAGGTTAAGTGATTTGCCCAAGCTCTCATAGTTAATAAATATGTGTGGGAAAAGAGGATTTGAACTGAGGCCTCCTTTATTCCAGCAACTCCATCTAATAGGCCAAGCTGCCTCTGTAGTATGGATTTGACTAGATGATTTCTGAGGTTTCTTCCAACTTTGAAATTCTGTGATTGCTTCTATAGTAGAGACACAGAAATGTAAAAGATGGCAGAGCCCTCCACACTTCCCTAGGCCTTCTACACTTTGACTAGATGACAGTTCATCTGAAAAAGATCTTGGGCTTTTAGCAGATTGGAATTGCCACTTGAGCTACCACTGAAAACATGGCAGCCAAAACTGCTAAATGTCATCTTAGGCTACATTGAGAGGCCTAGTGTCCAGAATGAGGAAAGAGATAGTTTTACTGTGCTCTGCCAGTCAGACCCCATTTGGAGCACTGTGCTCAGTTCTGGGCACCACATTTTAGGAGGGATATTAATAAGCTAGAGAACATACAGGAGAATGCTGAGGGCCTTGAAATCATTCCATGAGGATTACTGAAGGAACTGAGAATATTATTTGAAAGACTCAGTGGGGAATAGCTAGACTATGTCTTCTAGCTCTAAATCTATGGTTCTGTGTCTGTCACATTGGAAAAAGATGAGTCTTGTTTTGCTCAGCCACAAAGGGCAGAAAGAGGAGCAATGGGTAGAGTCGGCAACAGAAACCATCTGAAAGTGCAATGAGTCATTTTGGAAGGCAGTGGGTTACCTCTTAATAGAGAGTGAAGTTTAAGCAAAGGCTCTATGACCACTTGTTGGTATATGGCCAAGTGACTTCTTGTTGAAATACAGGGTGGACTATATGGCTTCAAGTCAAGGTTTGGAGTTACAAGATAAGGACTTAGGTCAGGCGTGGGGATGTGGCCTCAAGGCCACATGTAGCTCTCTAGGTGCTCAAGTGCCACACTTTGACTGAATCTAAACTTCACAGAACAAATCCCCTTAATAAAAGGATTTGTTCTGTAAAACTTGGACTCAGTCAAAAGGCCACACCCAAGGACCTAGAGGGCCACAGGTTCCCCACCCCAACTTAGGTCTTGGCTTTGCCTTATTGTGTGACCTTGGGCAAGTCACTTCACTTCTTTGAAATTTAGTTTCCTCATGTGTAAAAAAGTCATACAAGTAATATTATTCCCCATCACCCAAAGTTGTTGCCAAGGCTAAATGAGCTAATTTATGTAAAACACTTTATAAATCATGAAGTGCTATGCAAATGTCAGCAATTTTTATAATAACTTATATTGCTATTCTAACTGATGCCTCAAGAAACTTTTTGAAGATGGTTATTCTAGTCACAAAGATTTCCATACAAAGAGATTACATGATCTCCCTTGTTAGCTTAGTACATTCCAGAATGTAATTTTTACTGTTAGAAAATTGTTCTCAAATATCTCTCCCTGTAACTTGAAATGAATAAGAATCCAGTGAGATGATAATTGGATTGAAATGCTTTACTTCTCCTGTGTGTCCCATGACATCCAGCATGGTATAATCACAACTCACACTTACAATGCCTTTCAGAGTTCAAAAAACACGCTATTCACAGACACCCTGTGAAGTATCTCATAGATATATCATTGGATCTCCCATTAAGATGAGCTTAAATTACTTGTCTATGGTACACTACTAATGCCTTAGATTTGAACTGAGGTTTCTTGATGCAGACTCCAGAGCTTTTTGCATAAAGTCATCTGCATTTGAAATTAATTTTCCCTCAAGTATCTTAGATGTTATTCATACTCTTCTTAAAATTTGGTTAAACCTTATATAGTACATATATTGCAACAAGGTTAGTGTTGTGCTGGTAAGTGTATAACAACCAGCTCTCTAGAGAAAAAATGTACAAACACATTTTTTAAGTGGAATTTGTATTATTAACATTTTCCCACTACTTTCTTCAGTCTGGACAATAAGAAAAACAATACGTCAAGCTCTGATTTATGGCCTTTGCAGATTTCTGAGGGAGGAGTAAATACTCACATTGGAAATTTAACATTTGTCTCTATAGACCTTATTAGAGCTGGCTTCAGTATAGCCCTGAACTGAGACTAGCATGGGGCTTATATTGATCATTTTTTACCAATTACCTAAATAATGGAGTAAAGAATAAATCAGTTAAGGTAGCTGATGTTGCCAGACTGGGGAGATGGGCCTGGTTAGGACCAAGTTTTAAAATCAGGGGTAGAATTTAAAGCAAAGAAATCTTGGAAGATTAGAAAATTAGTTTTCCCTGGCACCCAGTACACTGTTTTGCATGCAGGAGGTGCTTACTAATTGTGGAATTCAACTGCCCTGATCGAAACAAAACAAAGAAAGCACACCTAGGACACCTAGGAAGGAAAAACAGAAGGCATAAGCTAGTCTCGTAGATAAATGGTGACCCTGAGTCCATGTTAAACTACTGTCACATCAAAGATTGTTACTGGATGCAGTGTATAATGTTAGAAACCACAAAGTAGTTTTCCTCTCATACACAGCAGAGAGGAAGATCAACAGCTGGCAGTAGAGAGAACTGAGATGGGTCTTTGAAAAGAATCATGAAGATCAAAACATTAGGAAAGACTGAGAAAGGTGAGAGGGTAATTTAATAATAGCATTCAAATGTATGAAAGATTCTCATACAGAGGAAGGAGAACAATTGTTCAGGTTATCTTCTGGGAATGGAAATGCAAATATGCATCAATTAAGGCTAGTTACAAAGAAAAAAATTTACTGACAGTAAGAAATATTAAGAGAGGTAGCATGGGGCTAGTGGATAGGGATAGATAAGATAGCCTCCCCCTCAAAAAGAACTAGGTTCAAATCTTGCCTCTGATACATGCTGGCTATGTTAGCTACCCTTAGCCAGGGGCAGAACTGGATTGAAATGTTGGGAAATATTTACCAAATAAGAAGATAATACAACATACATAATGTTAATTTGTGGTTTTCGAAGTCATTCTGTGCCTGCAGGGACCTTTTTCTATTTGAGTTTTATACCACTGCTCTAGGTAACTCTCAGAGTAGGTATAGAACTACACTCACTGCTAAAGGTGTCTTCACACTGGAAGTTCTCAATGAAGTCACAGGTCTGATGTGAGAGAGACCGAGAGACAGAGATTGAGATAAAGACAGACAGACACTGAGCTGGGTTGCCAGGGCAAATTGTAAATCTCCAACCGTTTTAAAAAAGCACAAATTATCATCTGCCAGGATATATAAGTGTAGAAATGCCTAACAGTAAATAGATCAGGGGTGGGGAACCTGCAGCCTCGACAAGGCCACATATGGCTCTCAAGATCCTCAAGTGTGCCCTTTGACTGAATCCAAACTTCACAAAACAAATCCTTGGGATTTGGATTCAGTCAAAAGGCTGCACTTGAGGACCTAGAGGGCCATATGTGGCCTCAAGGCCACAGGTTCCCCACCCCTGGACTAGATAAAATTAACATTTAACATTTCTGTTTGACTAACATTTTTGACTGACTAGATAAAATTAACATTAATATTTCTATAATCAGTGAGATGATACCACCATCCCCATTCTTGACCTCACTATGCTTCTAAAAGCAGCTGATCCAAAATGGAATACTTGTTGCTTTTCATTTCAGCAACTATGAGAAATCTCAAAGAGGATATTCTGCTCTCACCAAAGACAGGAATCCCCCTCCTGCCCAAATCCACCACGGTGGGTAAACCCAAGGAGAAAGGCCCCTCTCTCTCACAGAAGGACCTATGTAAAGCTGTCTGTTTTCTACTTGAGGCTCACCCGGATATCCGCTTCTCCTGCACTGACAAGATTCTGACACTGTAAGTTGTAGCCTCCTTCCCAAGTGGCAAGAATGAGCTGGCGTAGAAACAAAAAAGAAAAGATTAATAAAACAGCAGAAAGTGAGTCTAAACAGAATCATTTATTCATATTTTCTATTGGCATTTATTCAGGAAACTGACCAGAAGGTGGGCTCATGCCAATTCATTCTTAAACAGATACTATCAAAGGACTTGATCATTGCTTTTGAACCAAATTCATCGATTGTATTACATGCTATCTGCTACATCAAACTTGTAACAATCTACACTGTTCAATAACTTATAATTTTGGCTGACATTGGGTAGAAGTGTATTTTATATATGTTTAGAAATTCTCCAGCCCTGTTTTCATCAGTCTCTTATTCATCAGAATTATCTCTTGCATGAAAATTTCAGGATGCTTAACTTAAACATCAAAATCAACTTTTTTCTTCTGCCTTGAAAAGCTAGTAAAAACCCTTTTTTTTCCTTTCTACTATTGCAGAGGTTTAAAATACATTTTACTAATTTATAAATTGATTGAGTGTGGGTTACAGAGCAGTTATGCTTGGAATATACTTAGTATACTGGATTGCCTATAAGAAATAGTCTCCAGATTTGTTCGAAAATCTGTCTAGTTTTTAATCTGACATGCCTTTGGTGAAACAACCCTTCCTTCTCCACACCCCACCCCTCCCACTTCTTGGATATGCATCTATTTTAGTTAGTTGTCATCCAAAGAAAGTGATCTCCCCAGCCAGTGCCTGACAAGAAACTACTAATTCCAGTTCCCACAGCCAGGTAATAAACTTCTTTTTCTTTTTTTTTTTTTGCATCTTTTTTTCTGTAAGGTTTATCACAGAACACATTTGCAAAACTACTCATTAGTATCTCTGTATGTTTAATTTTTATTTTTTTCTCAATTGCATGTAAACAAAAATTTTTAACATTTAAAAATTTTTTTGAGTTCCATATTCTCTTTTTCTGCCCCCTCCCACTCCTTGAGAAAACAAGCAATTTGATATAGATTATACATGTGCAGTCGTGCAAAAAATTTCTACATTAGTCATGTTGCAAAAGAAAATGCAAACCAAAAAACCCCCGAGAATAATAAAGAAATTTTAAAAAGGATTCTTCAACCTGCATTCAAACTCTATCAGTTTTTTTTCCTCTGGAGATGGATAGCATTCTTCATCATAAGTCCTTCAGAATTGTGTTGTATCATTGTATTCCTAAGAATGGTTAAGTCATTCACAATTGATCATTATACAATATTGCTGTTACTGTGTACAATGTTCTTCTGGTTCTGCTCATTTCACTTTGCATCAGTTCATATAAATCTTCCCAGATTTTTCTGAAAGTATCCCGCTGGTCATTTCTTTTTTTTTTTTTCCTGCTGGTCATTTCTTATAGCACAATAGTATTCCATCATAATCATATACCACAACTTGTTCAGCCATTTCCCAACTGATGGGCATCTCCTCAGTTTCCAATTCTTTGTCACCACAAAAAGGGCTGCTATAAATATTTTTGTATACATAGGTCCTTTTCCTTTTATCTCTTTGGGGGTACGTACCTGGTAGTAATATTACTGGGTCAAAAGGTATGCACAGTTTGATAGCCCTTTGTATATAGTTGCAAATTTCTCTCTAGAAAGGTTGGATCAGTTCACAACTCCACCAACAATGCATTAGTGTCTCTATTTTTCCCACATACCCTCCATTTCCTTTTCTGCCATATTTATTGTTTAGCCATTTTTCAGTCATGTCTAACTCTTTGTGACCCCATTTGGGATTTTCGTAGCAAAGATACTTGAGTGGTTTGCCATTTTCTTCTCCAGCACATTTCACAGATAAGGAAACAGAGGCCAAACAAGTTAAATTGTTTGCCCAGGGTTAGCATCTGAGGCCAGATTTGAACTCAGGAAGAGGAGCCTTTCTGACTCCAGGCCCAGCCCTCTATCCACCTAGCTGTCATATCAGCCAATAGGTGTGAGGTGGTAGCTCACAGTTGTTTTAATTTGCAGTTCTCTAAACAACATTTTTTAGAATTTAGAACTTTTTTTATATGAATGGTGTCTTGTGATCAGATACTTGACAGAGCTATGAAAAAGAAAGGTATTTCAACTCTTTTGTATATCTCCTGAAGATCCCCTTCTTTTGTCTGGATGGATTCCAGACTCATAGACTTTTGATTCAGAGGAATCTAGGTCAGATGGACTTTAGATTTCTCCTTGGATATGGGTGGGCTTGTTTGTTGACTTGTAAAAAGCTGATTCTTTAAAAGATTTGTGATTTCACTGGTGAGATTGCTCCAGTCACTGACAGTATTCATAACTACTCCTCACTTGAGTAAATGATTCAATGAATTGCTGTGGCCCAAAGCCCCCATCATCACCTGACAGCTGTCCTTCTGCTGATAAACTCAGCTAGCCTGGTCCTTCAGTTGTAGACACATAATCTGTTGTCAGGCCTTTGCTTGAAGATGATCAAGCTTGGTAGGACCTGCTGGTACTTGTGTTCTTTGAAAACCCAAAGTGACCTCTAAGGCTTGTCCATAAAATAGAGAGCTAGAGGCCACTAAGATAGCTGGTGTATGGCACTGCTGTCTAGAGCAGGGGTCAGCAAACTGAGCTGCTAGTCTGATAGGGCCCACTCCCAGTTTTTGAACAATTCTCAAGCTAAGAATGGTTTTTACACTTGTAAATAAAGTTTTATTGTATTTGAAAATGTAAAAACCATTCTTAGGGCCATTCAGAAAGCAGGCAGTAGGCCAGGTATGACTACGGAAGGATATAGCCAGGTAGTTAGCCTATGCTTGTCTTAAAGAATTCAAGTGCAAGAAAAGCTGCACACACCTGACACAGAAATAGGTCACTGATCTCTAGTACAATGTATTCAGAGGTTTTCTATTTCCATCACCTGGTGGTAGTAGATGCACAATCATCGCTAGGGCTCAAGAATCTTTGATGGGTTTCTTTCTGGTCCCTGCAACTCATCTGAGCTTTAGATAACAGAAAATATTTGTTCCTAACAATCCTTATTATAACTGTCCTGATTCCTAACCAATCTTCATACAGCTCTTCATCTGCTTCGAATGGTAAAAACAGGATATATGTCTTAAGTTATGGAGCCCAGATGCTCCTGAAATTATTCCTCTCTCTTTGACCTTAGCTTGTTCTTCACTTCAGGGGAGAAAATCAGGGTGGTCATTCTTTTGACATACTAAACGTACTTGGAAGGAGGTAAAAGCAATGCAATGTATGTCTGTTCATAAGACCTTGTGGATAGTTTCTTTTAAATGCCTTGCATTTGGAAAAAAAGAAATTTTCCTGAATTAGTCTGCCAAATGCTATCCATCATCATACCTATTATTTCCCATACTCTCATTGGCTATGCAAATTATCACCCTGAGGAGACCAAATATTGATAAGTGTCCTAGGAGCATAGGAGAGGGAAGTTTTTCAGGTCCCTTTAGGACTTAGTAAAAATTGCATTTTTATCTAGGTGATATTTTTTAGAGAAATACTTATGGTTTAAATTAATATCTTTTCCTCCCAGGATACTGGAACCCAAGGGCTTCAAATATTGGCTTTATAAAAGAAACTTAGCCACATCTACCATCTCAATTGGAGGTGAGCCATCCTTCTCTTGCAAAATAAGAGAGGGCACATCAGCACCTGAGATGGACATCATTTTTTTAAGCACTGAGAGAGAAAAAAGGCTGAAGTTTATTTTATTTGCATAGGTCAAATCAGGGTGGAATACTAGCCCACCCACAGCAAAAGCTAGTGAAAGCAATAGCATTGATTCTTCATACACTTGAGGCCCTATGGCAAGATTCATGGCCTTCTACAACCTACAACCCTATTAAAACTGCTATAAACCGAGAAAGAAACATATATTCAGTATCTGCTATTCGGTTACTACTATTCTCTTTTCCCCTTCTCCCCTTCTCCTAATTCCAGATATTCTTTTCCCACAGAAGCTTCATTTCTGGTCCAGACATTAAATTCTGAATTGTAAGTGATTTTTTAAAAAAATCAGAGTCATGGAGTAGGAGGTTTTCTTAACAGATAAGAGACACAGTCTTCTTCCCTGAAAGAGAAGGAAGAGTTACAGGCAAGTGACCTTGGACCAATAACTGCTCTGGGCCTTTGTCTTTGGGATGGGAGTGAATGGAGGCTCTGTAGCCTTTACTGGTCACCAGTGTAGGAAGCGAACTGCATATCTCGCAATAGGGGAAAAATGAAGGGAAAAGAAGGGAAGAGTTTCTGTGAATATGGGTTGGCAAAAGAAAGAAAAAAAATAAGCAAATAAGAAAAATTAATTACAGGACAGAACAGAGTGTGCTATGAACCATAAAATTTAAAACCAGAAGTGATAAAAAGAAAACAACTGTCAAGGATGATGTGTCCAGTGTGTTCCCATGAAGAGTCAAAGCATAAGTAATCTCTCAGGGACAAATATTAGATTTTTTAAAAGTATAACCCTGGAGAATGTAAGTAATAAAATAGCATTCAATTTGAAGTGGGAGTTACATTTAATTGCTTTTGAGGTTTTTGGGTTTTTTTTTTCATTGCAACTATCTTTGGTTGGCTGCTTCTACTTCTCCAAATCTGACAGAAAATACCTTCAAGGCTCAACTCGATCTCCAACTGCTGCATGAAGAAGCCAGCCCATGGCTCTCAGAACAGGGAGTGGTAGTTTAGAGCTGAAAAGGGCTTTAGAGGTTATCTAGTCTAATTTCCTCATCGAGAAGAGGAACCTGAGTGGGGGAGAGATTAGATGACTTGCCCAAAGCTACAAAAGTCAAGTCCTCTGACTCCAAATGCAGTGCTCTTCCCTCCACTGAGCTGAGCTCTAACTTCTCCAAATCCCCATACTATTTATCTGTACCATTCATTTACACATATTTTGAACCATTTGTTTATATAATACGTATCTGTCCCATATATATGTGTGAATATTCTACACCTACAACTTCTTTAGTGTAGGGAACTCTGAGTGAGAAAACTCCTTTAGCCAGGCAGTCCTACAGACAAGCATTTACAGACTG